GGGCGGGAGGGGGGGGGCCCGCGCGCCTCCCTTTCGGTCCCCCCGGGGTCCCCGCGGCTTGGAGACTGGGCCGCCCGCGGCCGCCGCCTCTGCGCGGGGCGTCCTTTAGCTCCTCATCAAGGTCGCTCGCGCGCGGGAAAGACGCCCCCTCCCCGGAACGTCCTGCCGGGATGTTGTGCGTTGGCTGCCGGGGCCGACGCTGCCGACCCCCTTCTGCTGCGGCCGCCTGCACATCCGGAGCTCACGAGGTTCCGGCTGCACCAGGTTTTGCAACACTTTGTTCCTTGCGAAGCCGCATTAGGTCTTCAGCAATATCCTGGTAGAATTGGCTATCTGAATGTGTGCGCACTTCCCCCTGGATTATTTGAGTTAAAATTTGGTATAAAAGTTGCTTCCTTAAATGTATGTATGCGTTTGAAAGCTTTCAATGATTTGGCATACAGTAGCCAAAAAAAAAGTGTTGGTTTCAGAAGTTCTTGAACATAATGTTCTGTTGTTCAAAAGTCTCTGTGTATTAGTGGATGACCAGGTACTGCAGTAGAGGGGACCCTTTAGAAATAGCCTGAAATTGAAGTTCCTCAGACTCTGCAGAAGTTTGGGTTGAATGAAATGATGGGATTGGAAGTTGTTCTAGGGTACAGGTTGGTGAATGGCTTTCTTGTGTTCCTCCATACACAACACGCACACAACTATGTTATCATAGGATGAAAATAATTGTTTGTAGACAGGGGTATATAGTTATCTTCGTTTATGTTTTGTTTTGTTTTTCCGATCTTCTTTGTCGTGTCTCCAGTCCAACTTTCCAATATGGTTTGTTCCCAGTATTCTGCAGAGGCCACTGCCTCTCGTGTTGGTGTTGCCAGATCTGGTGGGGTGCGTTGCATTGCTACAGGGCATCTTGGGAAATGATCCATGGTTTGCTTCCCCTGACAAACATGTTGGTTGGTTGTATAGAGGCCCCATGATTTCATGAGAGAATAGAGGTGCACTGATACATCGGCCCCATATCGTATCTGTACTGATAATGTCAATTTTCCTTTTATCGGCAATCAGCTTTTTTTGGCTGATGTGGCCAATAATGTCACCAATAAATGCTGCCTGCATGCGCGCAGCTGCAGCAGAGCACAGGTGGCATGGAAAGCAGCATCCAGCTGGTAAGTCTGTCGTGGGGGAAGGAATGGTTGTGGAGGGGGAGCAGACTGAGGTCCCCGCAGTGAGGGAGGGAGTGGGGCTGGGGCAGGGTCAGGTGCTGCACATCTAGGGTGGAGCCCAGGGCGGAGCCGTGAGTGGCTAGTCTAGGAGATGCGGGAGGAGGGGTGGTTCCTGCTGCTGTGTATGCCCCAGGAGGACATGGGAAGTGGGGTAAGGGTGGGCTGCTGCTGTGGGCTGGGGCCAGGAGCGGTACCAGGCTCTTCCTGGTGGTGGGGCTGGGCTGGACCTGTACTCAGGGTAGTCAGAAGTATTACTAGGAGGGAGACTACACGTGGTCTGCAGCCACCCCAAAATTCGCCTCCCCACTTTGTAGCAGTGCTGTTGCTGCCTGCCTCAAGCATAGCCCAGCCCAGACCCCCCAGCTGGGAACAGCCTGGCACCACCCGCAGCGGCAGCCTGCCCTCACCTCACACAGATCCAGGCAGTACACCCCTGCCTCCATGCCCTCCTGGGTGTGCGCAGCAGCGGGAGCCTCCTGAAGAGATGCAGCTCTGTCCCATGCCCCCATCCCGGCTGGGCAGCACCTGCCCCTGCCCTGCTCTGTCTCACCGTGGGGGCCTCGATCTACCCCTTCCTCCACAACAGCCTTATCAGCCAGATGCTGCTCTTTATGCTGCCAGGCCTCGTATCAGCAATTGGATCAGTATTGGCCAATATGGCTCATTAAAAATCGGCCATTGATATTGGTCCCAAAAAATCTCTATCATTGCACTCCTATAAGACTTTTCTGGTTAAAAGCTCATATTTGGTAGCAGTACATTTGCATATTTACTATTGTAAACCTATTGTCAAGGCACTTTCGTTTGGGCATTCCTTTTTTAAACTGAACTTAATTTTTCTTTTGAGTTAAGAATTATAATATTCTATCAAATGAGTATTTTTAAACGCACCTGTTCCAGGGATGTTGTAAGGATTAATCCCTGTTTGTGGAGTTAATTTTGAAATCTACAGAAGAAAGGAAAATAAATGCTTTCAGCATCTACAGTTCCAATTGTAGATGCAAACTCTCTTTTTTTTAATCATGCATAAAGATTTCGACTTTCTGTGCTTTGGGTTAAATGGGAGGATTTCATCTAGTAACCCTTTTATTAAGGTTCCACTAATATTATGGGCTATGCACAGAATGAAAGTGATAAATGGATCAAGAAGTAGTGCTCAGTGGTATCTGTTTCATTCATTTTTGTTGCTACCAGTTGCTGATGTCATCCAGCTACAAATGCATTACTGTAATGTGTTCAGGCATCTGAATAAAATTACAGGACAAACAAAAGCTTCTTTGTTGGAAAAATACTCTATATTTTGGGACAGTTCTTGGGTGGATAGGTAATGCTAAATTAAACAATTAGTGAATAAGGATTTTGTATTTACCACATCATTTAACATCCTTCATAATTAGCATATCTCTTGTTTCTTGCCCCTTCTTTAAATATCCTTCAATACTCAACCCCTAAGTTTCTCTGTTTTGTTTTATGACCTGTTTTAAATGATTCTGTAGTGATACATCAGTAATGAAATTCAGTTGGCCATAAATCTATTTTATTTTGTTTTCATTTTTATTGGCATATTTATAGTGTCTTGTATTGCTACTTCTTTCTTATATCACTAGTATTAATAACAAATTTTTCAGGTAAACTCAGAATATAACTCCCAATATATGAAGTATTGATTTCCCATTTACTGTCATGGCTATGCCATATAACTAGTTTTAAATTTCTACTGTGTATTTATAAAGCCTTGACCTGATGTGATTAAAGGTCTTGTGCAACACCACCTTTTCTGAGGTAGTAGTTACATCCATCATAAAGAGAGGGCTTGTGAATGAGACTATTACACAGCAGAATGGCTGTCTGTATAGAAAGGGATGTGTGATTCACTAATGAGCATTGTTCCAAGAAATTACAAAACAGCATTTCCATAGAGATGTTGACAAAAATACAACAGCCCTCCCCCCCCCCCACACACCTTTTCTATTAATTTATGTTTCTGTTTGCACTCGTTTCTGCATGGCAGTAATAAACATTGAGTAAAATAAGCTAATATATTGAAGCATTTTAATATCGTATATACCCAAATCTAAGATGATCCTGAATTTAAGATTACTCAATAATTAGATACTATGTATGATACATGCCATAATTTTCCATGTGTACAATCTAATTATTGGAGGATCATCTTAAATTTATCCCCATCACTTCAGCGGCAGCCTGCCCTCACCTCACACAGATCCAGGCAGTACACCCCTGCCTCCATGCCCTCCTGGGTGTGCGCAGCAGCGGGAGCCTCCTGAAGAGATGCAGCTCTGTCCCATGCCCCCATCCCGGCTGGGCAGCACCTGCCCCTGCCCTGCTCTGTCTCACCGTGGGGGCCTCGATCTACCCCTTCCTCCACAACAGCCTTATCAGCCAGATGCTGCTCTTTATGCTGCCAGGCCTCGTATCAGCAATTGGATCAGTATTGGCCAATATGGCTCATTAAAAATCGGCCATTGATATTGGTCCCAAAAAATCTCTATCATTGCACTCCTATAAGACTTTTCTGGTTAAAAGCTCATATTTGGTAGCAGTACATTTGCATATTTACTATTGTAAACCTATTGTCAAGGCACTTTCGTTTGGGCATTCCTTTTTTAAACTGAACTTAATTTTTCTTTTGAGTTAAGAATTATAATATTCTATCAAATGAGTATTTTTAAACGCACCTGTTCCAGGGATGTTGTAAGGATTAATCCCTGTTTGTGGAGTTAATTTTGAAATCTACAGAAGAAAGGAAAATAAATGCTTTCAGCATCTACAGTTCCAATTGTAGATGCAAACTCTCTTTTTTTTAATCATGCATAAAGATTTCGACTTTCTGTGCTTTGGGTTAAATGGGAGGATTTCATCTAGTAACCCTTTTATTAAGGTTCCACTAATATTATGGGCTATGCACAGAATGAAAGTGATAAATGGATCAAGAAGTAGTGCTCAGTGGTATCTGTTTCATTCATTTTTGTTGCTACCAGTTGCTGATGTCATCCAGCTACAAATGCATTACTGTAATGTGTTCAGGCATCTGAATAAAATTACAGGACAAACAAAAGCTTCTTTGTTGGAAAAATACTCTATATTTTGGGACAGTTCTTGGGTGGATAGGTAATGCTAAATTAAACAATTAGTGAATAAGGATTTTGTATTTACCACATCATTTAACATCCTTCATAATTAGCATATCTCTTGTTTCTTGCCCCTTCTTTAAATATCCTTCAATACTCAACCCCTAAGTTTCTCTGTTTTGTTTTATGACCTGTTTTAAATGATTCTGTAGTGATACATCAGTAATGAAATTCAGTTGGCCATAAATCTATTTTATTTTGTTTTCATTTTTATTGGCATATTTATAGTGTCTTGTATTGCTACTTCTTTCTTATATCACTAGTATTAATAACAAATTTTTCAGGTAAACTCAGAATATAACTCCCAATATATGAAGTATTGATTTCCCATTTACTGTCATGGCTATGCCATATAACTAGTTTTAAATTTCTACTGTGTATTTATAAAGCCTTGACCTGATGTGATTAAAGGTCTTGTGCAACACCACCTTTTCTGAGGTAGTAGTTACATCCATCATAAAGAGAGGGCTTGTGAATGAGACTATTACACAGCAGAATGGCTGTCTGTATAGAAAGGGATGTGTGATTCACTAATGAGCATTGTTCCAAGAAATTACAAAACAGCATTTCCATAGAGATGTTGACAAATATACAACAGCCCCCCCCCCCCCCCACACACCTTTTCTATTAATTTATGTTTCTGTTTGCACTCGTTTCTGCATGGCAGTAATAAACATTGAGTAAAATAAGCTAATATATTGAAGCATTTTAATATCGTATATACCCAAATCTAAGATGATCCTGAATTTAAGATTACTCAATAATTAGATACTATGTATGATACATGCCATAATTTTCCATGTGTACAATCTAATTATTGGAGGATCATCTTAAATTTATCCCCATCACTTCGGCAGGAAAAGCAGTTTGGGGGGGGGAACAGGCAGCTTTTCCTGTCTCT